TGGGATTAAAGGACTAAATTTTCAGCAGGATCTTGGAGAAAAACTGATTGACACATTTATCTTAAGGAACTGATTTCTGCAATGGCTTCTTCACAGTTCTGCCTTAAAAGCTGATCAAATAGCTGCAGTTGATCCACAATGCTGCTGCCTGGGTCTCCACTAAATATGATTACATTACCACAGTTCTAAGGTTGTTATATTTGATTCACCTCTCTCAGAGAATAGACTTCTCTTGGTCTATAACTTAATGGCTTAGCACCAAAATACATCACAGACTTCTTGTAGCAAGCGCTCAGACCTCTCGGGTCTGTTTAAATTTGCCGTCTATGTTACCTTTCATTCTCTTATTAATCGTTTTATCATTAACCTTTTTATGATCGTCTTATCGTTTTTAATTATTAATTTTTATTACTTTTTTTGTTTCTGAATTATTTACACTTATAGTGGAGAATGTTCTTATTCCCGGTGGATCATCTAAATAAGAGGTCCTCCTAATTGTGAATCATTCTGGTGATATGTTAACGTAAGGCCATCCTATGTTCTCGTCCTCATATTCACTTACCAGGGGTGAGCCTGACATGGTGGAAAAAATGCATATCTCCTTTTGGAAAGTAAGCTTGTATGAGTGATGTAAACAGCATCTTTTAAACAGAGCGTGTACGAGGAGAAATGGGCTTGTGCATGCTCTGGCAAGCATATAACAGGCATTCCCTCTCAGGAGCGGGTACGGGGTTGTGCATGTGCTTTTTTTTTAAGTGGAGAGGGCAGGTCTTTTCAAAAATTCCCCCATCCTCCATTATAATTAGCTTTGTGGCACTGCAATGTACTTCTCTTATTATGATTCTTTTTCCCTATTTCGTGTACAGCACTAGTGCTTGCTATTGAAATTTGTTATACAAGTAGAATTTCTTTCCTTTTCATTGTTGGAGTCTGTTTAGGAAAAGAAAAGTATAAAATAAGCTTTACTTAGGATGACGCCGTTAAGCCGGTAGCCTCCATAGCCAATTCCCACCACGAACTGGGATGCCAAATATAAGGGGTAGTTTGGAGATAATCCAGTCGTTATAGTGAATACAACCATCAGGACTATAGGGATCTGAGCAGCGCGCCTTCGGCCAAACCTAAAGATAAAAATTTAGATCAAACCTGGGAAAATCATGGAATATCAAGGTTTACATAAAGGTGTCTAAATAAACAACACTGAAAAAGTATTTAAAAGGTGCTTTAAAATGTTAAGCATGTTTTTATGTTTTTCATTACTATGTATCAATGTATAAAATAGACCTACGATTCAGCGAAAGGTCCCAGTAAGAGACATCCAGCAAGGATGCCAGCCATCAGCACTGTCTGTGCAACTCCCAACAAATGAGCCTTATCACAAACTAGATCAAACTGTGTAAAAAAAGAACATTCTTTACTAGAGCCACATCTGAATTTGCATTGTAAAAAAACAACACTGAAACAGGTCAATCACTCACATCAGTGACTATTGTGGACTCATAGAGCATGTTGCCGTAAACCCATCCATTCCTGCACCCTGTTGTCTCATTGAGACCATCCTCCCTGATGGCATTGATGTCCCAGTCCACAGGGACGAACATCTGACACCGGCTGAAGCTGCCATCCTCCTCCCTGGGCAGAGTGAGGTTTAGCTGCTCCTCTCTGGTTAGGTTAGGAGCAACTCCGAGGATCCAGTCTGTGTTACAGTGTCGCTCCGGATCAGACTGGGTGAAAATAACACTCGCAAAGTGAAAAGGCAAGATAAGGTTTGGAAAGCAAAGAGCAAACAGGATGGTTTTTTGAAACAATCCAAACTCTCCTATATTACGCAAGATTTCCCCAAAATCAGCCATGGTCCGGCAGTGACTTCCACTTCAGCGATGCTGCAAAGGAATGACCTTTAAACAAAGCCCATTAATGTTTAAACCCAAGCAAGTGTGCTTCAGGAAATATGAGACAGCACTTTCACTTAGGTTACAGAAAGACTTTTATCGTTTTGGGGGGTTTTCTGTCTTTTTTTCTGGTTAAACCAGATATCTATTTCTAGGATCATTAACTGTTTACCATCCTAAAAAAGAAAATTGATTTAACTGTCAATGGCGTAACGACACAACAATAGGCCCGTAAGCAACATTATCTGGGTGGGCCCAATATGAAGTACACCACCTGATAAAGGTTTAGGATGCGGCGGCAGTTCCATAAATAGGCCAAGAAGATACAATTATCTCAGTAGTATATGATCACACATCACACGGGGGGAAAAAATTAAATAAAATACTCAAATACGTCATTTTTTAAAGATCTTTATTGTGCGTTAAAACATATTATGTGAGTGTATTTTTTACCAACTGTCTAATACACAGTTATTAACATAGTAATTAAAAGTACCACTGTCTGCTTTGCTATTGGTGTCGTGTTTAAATGGCTCACCATCATGTTGAAATCTGGCATGTGTTGCAGTATAAATACAGTCCGGTGCAGTTCTTTATCTTGCGATCATTTCAGCATCAGGTGGGTTCAAGAGGAATTTTTCGTACCATTACATCTGCAAAGAGACATTCTGATCTGCAATTGCGTAGGGGACCTAACAGTGATGGGGCCCCTAAAAGGTCGTGGGCTCGTAAGCAACTGCTGTCTGTGCTTACCGATTATTTATGCCACTGATGAGACAGCACTTTCACTCAGGTTACAGAAACACTTTTATTGTTTTCGGGTTTTAGGTGTTTTTTGTCTGTTTAAAGATATAGAATTCTGGGAACATTCACTGTTTATCATGCTTAAAAAGAAATTTGATTTATATGGTTGTCCAGAGCTGAGCGCTCTGCAATGCAAAAAATCATTATGAACTGATGATTAAGAAATCATAGAAACATAACGTCCAAAACAACAAGTTAAAGTCTATACATATTGAGCTACACACAAAATGCTTTTCTTAGCAAAAACTCTGATGCAGACACAACAATGCAATGCTTATCTCCAGGCTGTAAAAAATCCGTAGTCTGTTACAAAACAATATGGACTTTACTTCTTGAAGATTAGACAAGCTGTAAAATATATTATTTCACTTCTGTAAGTGTTAAAGGCAAATCTAATCTCTCTTAATTGAAATGATTTGATTTAGCAGGTTTTTAAATTGCCTGAAGGTTGGCAAGCTACTCTTAAAATGGGTAATGTTTTAAAGAAACCAGCTATCACAGCTCCAGCGATATAAACTGTTTTATTGCCAGATAAACATGGTATCCATGTTGCAACAAGTCAATAAGTTACATCAAGCCAGTTTTAGATTCAAAATAGCAGAGAAATATGCAGTAGTTTATAATACATGTGCTGAAATGCACAGTGTGGTTGTACATTTTACTTAAACAAAAGATTAACTGTTTCTTATAATGATTTTAGGAGTTACATCGACTCACTTAAGTCTTTAGAGGAATGATAAATATGATACAAAGCAAATTAATTTAAATTCTAACCAAAGATTCTTAATTGGATTTAGGGCTGGACTTTTACTGGGCCATTCAAACATACGTGTTCTTTTATATAAACCATCTCATTCTAACTCGGACTTTATGCTCAGGGTGGTTCTCCAGCAGGGAGGCGGACTTCTCTGCCCCAGTTTCAAATCTTTTACAGCCTGTAAGGGAATTTATTTCAGGTTTACCCTTTATTTAGCTTCACTTATTGGCACATCAGCTGACTAACCTCTTTGTTACCCTGGCAGTGATGAGTTCAAGGACCTGCTACTTTACTGAAAGAAACAGTGTTCTGCAAGGTGGCAGAAAAAAGGTACATGCTGTTCTCATCTGACAGGAGCTCCTTTTTCCACATCTCTGCAGGGTGACCTACATGGCATTTGGAAAACTACAAACTGAACTTTAAATGTCATTCTTTAAAGAAAGTATTTCTTCTTTCGGTCAGTGTAATAATCACCTTCAATGTGTGAATGTGTGGGTGAATTACTGATTGCAGTGTAAAGAGCTTTGGAGTCCTCTGATTTCAAAAATAAAATTGCCTGATCTGAAAATAAAATCAGATCAAGCAAGGACTTTTCACTGTCCCTGGCCTTGTTTCAACAACCTTTAGTAGCCAACAAACAGCATCCTGACAGGTTATAAAATGCAGCAGATCGGATGAGGTTGGTTAGTGAAACGACTTTCTCGCCTGATTTATTTCACCTGTAGACAAACTGAAGATCGCTCTATAGTAGAGACTATAAAAAATAAAACAGGGGAAAGCTCTCCATTTTGGAGCATTGGTCATTGAGTAGAAAGTAATTCATATCTAAATCAAATTATAAACATGCTTTTATGATGGTCATCATTTGCGATATATACTTTTACAAGTACAAAGTTTTTACAAAATGTTTTATGATAAGCTTACATACAGTTTAACTTTTTTTCCCAGCTCGCCAGAGGTAAAAAGAAAAAAAAAGGCAAACGAAAACAAGTTCTAAATATGCTTTTTAATTTATTTTTAGACTGTTAACTGGACCCGTAAGCATGGACCAGATAGCATGCATACAAACAATGAAAATATATAAGTTTTTTCATCCATTAATTATCATCATTTTCAATATTTACACTACATGGCATATAGATGAACATTTCAAGGTCATGTTTTACACAGTCCGGTAGGAAGCAGTTTAGAGTTGGATGTTAACAGGAACTTTTACAAATATCTAAATGCACATCAAGCCTGAAAGTTATATCCTGGGTGTTTAAAGTTTCATTTTTTTTCAATGTTTATATCATAGCATTTTTTATTTTTTATTTTTAAGAATATTTGTGTTTTGTGTTTATTGATGCGTTATCTCTTTCGTTCTTAATCTCCCTTCCTTCTAGGCCATAATTATACATAATAATCTGCTCTTTAAAAAATAACACTAAGATTTTTCAAATGAAATCATAGTTTATTTATTGTTTGAACTTTTTTTGACTTGTAACCAGATTAGTCTTTCCATTCACTGTGTTGTAGAAAAAAAGCCATCTTAGAAACTTAGAAAACTCTTTCAGTTACAGTTTCGTGGATTTTGTGGGTTGGATTTCAGCCACGAAAATGTCACTTCCAGGCTTCTCATTGGTCAAATCCCTGCAGAATCACAGACAAAAACAACATTTATACAGTAATATTACAAAATAATTTAGACAAAGGTAAAAAATGTATCTATTCCATAAAAATGCAAGGATCTTGTGACTGTTACAAGGAAAGGCAATGATCCATAATAACTTATTTGAAAATATGTATGATTTATTTGGAAATATAATCTATATAAGGATATGGTTGCATAGTCATGCAAAACTTGACCCTAATATTTTGAAAAAGCAAGGTATGATGCTGCCATAGTTCACTTCATGGATGATGTTCTTCTGGTTATATGCAATGCTGTTTGTGAGCTAAAAATAACTTTTTTTAATGAAAGCCTTTAGTCGTGACGACAAATTTTCTTGGAAGGGAAAAAATATTTCAACCTGACTCCTCATCCTTGAACACAGCCAGTACTTTTAGATAACTCCTGCAGCTCCTCTGGCGATGCTGAGGGCCTCTTGTCTGACCGAATTTTATCTCAAATTTTCATTCATTTTTGAATTTTGGAGAAATAACATCTTTTTTTATGTTTCTGTTCGCTCACATTTTTGACATGTCTTCACTGCACTATATTGTACTGTGATTGATTCTTTGCATAATGAGATCTGTCAGGTGATTTCCTTCCTTATTTTAATTTACCACATTCCCAGTTATTGCTTGTTGATGTAAACTCTAAGGCTGAAATGCTAAAACGGAATCAACAGGTGCTTCGACAAGCATTAGTTAAGGGGTTCGCATATTTGTTGCATCTTTTTATTTATATAGTTCTCTCTTAAACATTATGCTTATAGTTGAACCTTACAACATATAGTTTGGCGGTTTAAATGATGGAAAGGTACTCTTTATTTACGGCCATGCGCTAAATATGGTATGCAGTATGAAAACATGGTTTCTTAGTAGTGGACAGAAGCTTTGAAGTGAAGATCTAAAATCTACTTTGTACTGCAGGATATGAGCTTACCCTTCATTCTTGTCATCACTGGTTGAATCTGGAAGATCCTTTTTGCTGGTCTCAGGAAGCAGGAAGACCAGAACCCCACTGAGCACGGCTAGGCTGCTAAATACTATAATGGGTATGGAGCGGTGGTAGACAGCCAGCATGTTGAGCAATGGAGACAGCAGCCCTGCAACTCTAAAGGCTATGGAGCCTAAGGATACAGCAGTTTGCCTAAAGGAAGCACAGTAATATCTTTTTTTTTTTGCACATATATACATTCAGTTATCCTTTATGTTATTTATGACTCACCTCATAGAAGTAGGAAACAGTTCTTGAATGTAAACCAAACATACCGATCCAGCCCAGTTCAAAAAGAATTTCCCGGTGGTAACCAGGGCAGTGATGGCGACAGCGCTGTCTGTAAGGTCAGGTGAAGGGAACACATTTTAAACTGGGAGATCCCTTTATCATAACCCCTCTTGAGTTAAATGTTATCTGTGTTTACCTGGAGTAAAAGCCAGAGTTAAAAGGCAAACAACCCCCCCTATGAGAAGTGTAGACTGTAGGGATTTTTTTCTTCCTAAAAACTCCAAAAACCAGAAGCAGAGAAGATGTGCAGGAACCTCTGTGATCCCAAACAGAAACTGGACCAGGAAGATGTTCAGACCAAACTTTCCCACATTCAGAATAAGGCACATGTAGCCCAGGTTTAATGAAAACCTTAACATCAGAGAACATGAAGATGTTAATTCATGTTTATGGAAACGTAATACAAAGGCAAATGGAAGGTGTTTCACTCACCAGGCAAAGGATAAAATTAAGAAGTGTTTTACCAGCACTGCTGATTTAAAAATGGCTTTGATTCCTCCACTCTCTACTTTTTTCTCCTCGTTTACCTGAGAAGCAAATATATCTTTGTATTACAGAAACAGCAGCAGTTCTATACACATGTCATAACAATAGACTGACTGGATCAAGTATTTTAAACACCAATTTTTTTACAAGTTTAGCTCTAATTTATATTTTACATTTCATCTCTTTAAATCACCAAACATGGTACTTGTTTTGAACCAGTGAGCCACAACTATATGGTAAAATGAGAGTCTTTTAGTTTTCAGTGTTAGAGCAATAAGGCTACAGGAGATCCATCCTGCCTGCAGCCATCGACAGCTAAAGCTCGTTGAAGAACACATATATCATGAGTTACAACAAATTGAACTTTATGCTTGAAAACAGCCCATTTTGTTGAATTATAACTGCTATTGAAAAAAAGGGAGGACCATAATTCCTCCACTCACATTTCAAAGTTTTATTACTATTTTATAAAAGCTTTTTTGGATTTATTTATGCCAAACAAAAGTTCTTACTTTCATATATATATATATATATATATATATATATATATATATATATACATATATATATATACATATACATACATATACATATATATATACATACATATATACACTATATTGCCAAAAGTATTTGCTCACCTGCCTTGACTCACATATGAGCTTAAGTGACATCCCGTTCCTAATCCATAGGGTTCAATATGACGTCGGTCCACCCTTTGCAGCTAGAACAGCTTCAACTCTTCTGGGAAGGCTGTCCACAAGGTTTAGGAGTGTGTTTATGGGAATTTTGGACCATTCTTCCAGAAGCGCATTTGTGAGGTCGCACACTGATGTTGGACGAGAAGGCCTGGCTCTCAGTCTCCGCTCTAATTCATCCCAAAGGTGTTCTATCGGGTTGAGGTCAGGACTCTGTGCAGGCCAGTCAAGTTCATCCACACCAGACTCTGTCATCCATGTCTTTATGGACCTTGCTTTGTGCACTGGTGCACAGTCATGTTGGAAGAGGAAGGGGCCAGCTCCAAACTGTTCCCACAAAGTTGGGAGCATGGAATTGTCCAAAATGTCTTGGTATGCTGAAGCATTCAGAGTTCCTTTCACTGGAACTAAGGGGCCAAGCCCAGCTCCTGAAAAACAACCCCACACCATAATCCCCCCTCCACCAAACTTTACACTTGGCACAATGCAGTCAGACAAGTACCGTTCTCCTGGCAACCGCCAAACCCAGACCCGTCCATCAGATTGCCAGATGGAGAAGCGCGATTCGTCACTCCAGAGAACGCGTCTCCACTGCTCTAGAGTCCAGTGGCGGCGTGCTTTACACCACCGCATCCGACGCTTTGCATTGCACTTGGTGATGTATGGCTTGGATGCAGCTGCTCGACCATGGAAACCCATTCCATGAAGCTCTCTGCGCACTGTTCTTGAGCTAATCTGAAGGCCACATGAAGTTTGGAGGTCTGTAGTGATTGACTCTGCAGAAAGTTGGCGACCTCTTCGCACTATGCGCTTCAGCATCCGCTGACCCCGCTCCGTCAGTTTACGTGGCCTACCACTTCGTGGCTGAGTTGCTGTCGTTCCCAAACACTTCCATTTTCTTATAATACAGCTGACAGTTGACTGTGGAATATTTAGGAGCGAGGAAATTTCACGACTGGATTTGTTGCACAGGTGGCATCCTATCACAGTTCCACGCTGGAATTCACTGAGCTCCTGAGAGCGACCCATTCTTTCACAAATGTTTGTAAAAACAGTCTGCATGCCTAGGTGCTTGAATTTATACACCTGTGGCCATGGAAGTGATTGGAACACCTGATTCCAATAATTTGGATGGGTGAGCAAATACTTTTGGCAATATAGTGTATGTATGTATGTATGTATGTATATATATATGTATATATATATATATATATATATATTTTTTTTTTTTTTTTCTCAGTAATGTTTCCAGAAAAGGTAAATGAAAATAGCAAATAGGAAGAACATTTTTTTAACCTATTTTTATTGAGCTCCATTTCCATTTTATAATATCCAATTTTTGTTTAAAACTAAATTGTGAAAATATAAGAAATATCAAGTTTTGTTGTTTACATAACTAATTAAGCATAGACATGAATATTAACATTTTTTTTAACTTGGAGATTTGTATCTTTGCACCACCCCTTGGTAGCCGCCAACAAACCTTTAGCATAACATGGGATGGATATATGACTGCTCCTTGGTAAGTCAAGTTTATTATTACATTAATGCTTTTGCAAGAGAAATACCCGTATAAGTATTAGCCTGCCATGGAAGGGAAACTGTTTCCAGAGTTATGTTTTACATCACTTTACCAAGCAAAAGGCTACTCTCCTGCTCCTAAATCAAAACCTCAATCACAATTAAAATTTGCTGCAGCCCACATGGATAAGCACTGAGCAGAAAAAGAGGCGCATGTAAGGATTTGAGCAACTTATACTCGGGCCAAATCCTGATGTACCCCTACCCGTAAAGACCTGGCCCTGGGATGCATTGAAAGAGAAACAGAGCAACAGAAGCAGTTTAATTAATGTTCAGCTGGAGGACCTTAATTGGGTCCTGTCATGCACCTTCTACTGGTAAAGACATAATACTCAGTATTTACTTTTCACTGGTTAAAACAGTGATGGATAATCAAAAAATAAAAACTCTGCATGTTGAGGTGATTAGCTCCTCAGGGGATTAGTCTGTGTTGCGGAGCTAAAGATGCAAATGGTTGCAACCGAAGACAGGTTAGATGTTGACAAGGCTCAGAAAGACTTTTGTAAGTCAGAAAGACTTACAAAAGGTTAAATCCGATAATATGGCCTTTGTGCAAAGAGGACATATTATAGGCCTAATATACTTAAAGTGTTTTTCTTAAATATTCATATTATCTGTGTTTTTATAATCATTATCTAAGTGGCTGAATATTATTTCTGCTAAACTAAACAAACCTTGTCAAGCATGTGTTCTGGCAATTCCTTTTTATTGATTGCTGCAACTTTTCGGATCAGTTTCTTTGCTTCATCGCGTCTTCCCTGTCCCAGGAGCCATCGAGCCGATTCAGGAATCCACCTAAAAGAAAAGAGAAACAGAGAACACACATCCTATGTGATTTGCCCCCATCATAACAGCCACTTACTGCGTTAATGTTTAAACCTCCGCCACGTTAATCGTTTATCTAATCAAACCTGGGTGGCTCTGTCACAGCTCCCACCTACCATATGTAGAGGAAGACCAAAGCCTCAGCTCCTGCCATGACGTACTGTGCTTTCCTCCAGTTACGGATAACGTACACCAGTCCGGCCACGGCGCATTGACCAAAGCTCCCAAACACCTGGCTCAAACAGGAGGCCAGGGACCGTTTGTTGATCCCGATCCATTCTGTAGCTGCAAAACACGGTTAAACTAATAAGTTTGCTAAACAAGGACACGTCTACAGGCTTAAGAAAACAAACTTAATTTTTTTTAATAACTTGATCATAACCATTCTCATAATAATCAGTTTTGAACGTTTTTGTGTTTATTTTTGGAAAGGAAGGTAGCTTATTGTCACTTAAAGATCAAATACTTGCATAATAACCCAAAGGAAAAATGCTTATCCTGACCGTCTTATTATACCCTTTATTAGCAGTTAATAAGGAGTTACCTTTTTCTGCTGAAACAAGGAGCCACAATACTGACTTATGTCTGTTGTTTTCCACTCCTTGACTTCACCGCCACAGTCTGTTTCAAGTCAGAGCTTCTTAATCAGCACAAAATTTACTGTTATATTATGGACCAGTCTCATATTTCAGTCCATTTCCTTTAGGTCATTTTCAGAGATTCTGAAACGAGAGTCTGAAATTTTGCTTAAAAGTATAGTGGAGGAGTTTTGCGAATTTCTGAAAAGATCCTCCCTCTCCACTTTTAAAAAAAATGCACATGCACAACCCTGTACCCGCTCCCAAGAGGGAACACCTATTATGTGCAAGAGAATGCAGGAGCCCATTTCTCCTCGTGCAGGCTGTGTTTAAAAGTTGCTGTTTGCATCACTTATACAAGTTTACTTTCCAAAAGAAGATTTGCAATTTTTTCACCATCTGTAAGTGAAAATGTAGGCGAGGATGTAGGAGGGCCTTACGTACATAAACATATCCCCAGAATGATTGATAATTAGGAGTACCACTTATTTTAAAATTCAATTATTTTGATCAATACCTTTAAATACCCACTTTAATGCTGCTGAACTTATAGTTGAGCTGACCGTATTGCCATAAGACCTCCCTCAAACAATTACACCTCTACTTACATACTTTATAGTTGGGAAGAGATTCTTATGGAATTCTATATTTTCTTTATACCAAACATGGCATCTGGTTTGATTTTTAAATAATTTTTACACTCAAACATCCAAAGAATACCTTTTTCTTGCAGAAGTCAAGTCTTTATCTACGTTTCATCCTTGCCTTCATTTCTTTTTTAGAGAGCAATGTTTTCATTTTTGTATGTCTCACATGAAGTTACACCTGTACATTCTTCCTAAATCTAAAGACATGCACTTTTATATCAACAGTAGCAGCAGGTTTTGGATACTTCTTTTAGCTTCTTGCGATCGATTTTGAGGCTGACCTCGCTCAGACTTCCAGATATGGCAACGGTGGCCGTTTGTGTGAATATTCTGCTCCTTTCTTTTGAGTCACTTTTCAAATGTGTTACCAGACTCACACGCTGCCACGGCATACTCTCTGAAGAATGGAGAGATCTTTAACGCCACCTTTTTTGTATATATATATATATTTTTTTTTTGACTTGCTTTTATGCTGCTTATTTGATCCGATTGTTTTCTTTTACAAATGTCTTTGTTTTTATTCTGCTTTTATTTTTCTTATATTTTATCATCTAATTCATATAAAGCATTTTGAATTTTCCATCTACTGAACTGTGCTATACAAATAAAATTGCCTTGCCTTACCTTAATGAGGTTTAAACAGAGCAAACCTACCTCAACATATTAAGTTACATGTCTTTTATCATGTGCAACTAAATGTAACATTATTGTGTAGTTTAAGCTGTCCTAGGAGGGAACAAATATGAGAGGAGTACTGATTTACTCCTCACTTCAAGCCAGGGCCGTCACTAGGTTTGAGAGACATGGGTGGCTTAGCCCCTAGGTAAGATATTGCGCGCGCGTGGCGCGCGCCGAAATTTTTTCAGTGCACTTTCTAAGGCGCTGTCTATAAATTCATTATTTTAAGAGCAACATACCTGGGAAACACTTCCCTCACTAATGCTACTTCACCAACTAAACTACACCAGTTAAAATGTGCTAAATTACAAAGAGTAAATGGTAGGTGCCATGCATTACTGCATAAATGGAAGAAGGCAAGTGGTTCGCCACTCATCATAATGGAAACCTTCTACAGAAGACAGTTGTCTAACCAACAGACTCCCAACATCTTCATAAACCCTTAACCTGGCCATTCATCTTTCCCCATCTCCCCTGCACCCACAACCTGTCAGGAACCCCTGTCTGCTTTGCAATAACCCTGTTTCTGTGTGTGTGCTTGGTGTGTGTGTGTGACCTGGACTTTGGCATGTCTTTCTCTACACCTGGCACAGAGAGAAACACATATATGTGAGGAACTTAACAATAAATGCAGCATTATCTTTGATAGATTTCTGCTTAATCTAAAGTTTAACCACAAAATACAAGTTGCATAAATGGACAGTAGGCAATAGGCAATAGCATCATTGCAAAGAAGGATATCCTTGAGACTTTTTCACATCAGTCTGACAAAGTTTTAATGCAAATAAAGGAAGTATTTTTAAGTACAATGTATTAAAGCTACAGTGTGTAATAATTACAGGGATATAAAGTCAGAAATTTAATATATTATACATAACTATGTTATTTATCATCACCTATGAGCTCAGCCTTTTAACCATAATATTTGCGTTGCCTTAGAATTCGTTATTTATAATTACATAGGAGCGGGTCTCGCAGCCATGGAGGCTGACATCTTTGCGCTACGGCAAGCGCAGAGGCAACAAACTAGCGATTGCGAGATCTCCCATGACGCTCAAAAATAACTACGGCAAGTTGAGAGAGATGAACTGAGACGGTACTGAACAGTAGATGGCAGTATTATGCCTGAGAAGCGTTTAGTCTGCCTGAAACCAAAGAAGAAGAAGAAGAAGAAGCAGGTATACTGCGCCTCAGTAACAAGAAAGGTGAACAAGGCGGCAGGCGTGAGTGACTTTGCAAACTGTTTGGCACTGTGTGGCCAAACATCAGACGAATGGAGGATCATGCCTACTCTGTATCACAACGAAAAGCGGCGGACACCGAACCCCCGTCATCTAAGAAGCGGAAACACGACGAGAATAAACGCAAGCGTGACAAGAAACGGCAAAAAACACGGATCAACATTGGCACGACATTTACACGGTGGAAGTCACTGATGGAGGAAAAAGGTTTTCAAAGTGACGCTCAAGTTGCCAGTTTTCTCTTGGACAGGTAATTAATCCTACACACACAATTGTCTAATATCACTGCAGTTTTTGGAGTACAGGATGCTCAGACCTGTCTAAAACAATAACATGCTGCGGCGTGATGATGCTGTTCCTCTCCAGTATACTTATTCAGCAACGTCCCTGACGTTTCACAGGTAATGATTCAGTAATTTTCTGTAAAATAATTTTCTGGATATATACCTCGGTTACTTCTCTCCGGCTCCTTTGGAGATCTTCAAGCCTTTCCTCCTCTGCTCTCACCCCGCTGGCTCCCCTCTCTCGCCTGGCCCTAGCTGCACGGCCTCCCTGCCCTCGCCCTCGTCCTCTCCCTCTTCCTCGCGTTGTAACCCCCGTGCCACCAAAATGACTTAGACTCTGTAAACGGGGAATATATATTCTTCCAGCGAACACAATCTCGCTGTTAAACTAATGACTACAATTACTTCGTCTGTTTATATCACCATGCAAAGCAGCTCACCAAAACGTCACAACGATGTAGAAAAAATAACGGGTATATTTATTATCTTAAGTCTACATGAAATCTATACCCTACTCAGACTAATGAAATACTATCTGTAAAATTATCTATGTAAACAAACCTCATCACTTGAGAAGGTAGGTGATGTGGACGTCGTGGAAGAAATTTTGTCCCGTAACGCTCGCCGTACTGTTGGGGGGGAGAAGCGGTGGGGGGGAGATGTTCATGTTGCTGCGGTCTGCAGTCTGACCGCTAGATGTCGCTGAAAATTACACACTGTAGCTTTAATGAAAACACAAAATCAACAGTATATGAAACGTACAACTTAGAACTATAGTCAACCCAAGGAAGCACTACCATATCACACAGTGTCGCCCTATCAGACTGGTGGCACATAGATATGGGAGAATTATCCTGCCATAATGCAAGAGCACATAACTTCAATTAGAGAAAAGAATTTCATCTTCTTGCACTCAAAACTTATAATGCTCACACTCAAAACATGCGCTCTCTCTCAAATATTTTCTCTTCTCTCAAAAATCTTTGTTTCTTCTCTCAGATTTAAAGCTACAGTGTGTAATTTTCAGCGACATCTAGCGGTCAGACTGCAGACCGCAGCAACATGAACATCTCCCCCCCACCGCTTCTCCCCCCCAACAGTATGGCGAGCGTTACGGGACAAAATTTCTTCCACGACGTCCACATCACCTACCTTCTCAAGTGATGAGGTTTGTTTACATAGATAATTTTACAGATAGTATTTCATTAGTCTGAGTAGGGTATAGATTTCATGTAGACTTAAGATAATAAATATACCCGTTATTTTTTCTACATCGTTGTGACGTTTTGGTGAGCTGCTTTGCATGGTGATATAAACAGACGAAGTAATTGTAGTCATTAGTTTAACAGCGAGATTGTGTTCGCTGGAAGAATATATATTCCCCGTTTACAGAGTCTAAGTCATTTTGGTGGCACGGGGGTTACAACGCGAGGAAGAGGGAGAGGACGAGGGCGAGGGCAGGGAGGCCGTGCAGCTAGGGCCAGGCGAGAGAGGGGAGCCAGCGGGGTGGGAGCAGAGGAGGAAAGGCTTGAAGATCTCCAAAGGAGCCGGAGAGAAGTAACCGAGGTATATATCCAGAAAATTATTTTACAGAAAATTACTGAATCATTACCTGTGAAACGTCAGGGACGTTGCTGAATAAGTATACTGGAGAGGAACAGCATCATCACGCCGCAGCATGTTATTGTTTTAGACAGGTCTGAGCATCCTGTACTCCAAAAACTGCAGTGATATTAGACAATTGTGTGTGTAGGATTAATTACCTGTCCAAGAGAAAACTGGCAACTTGAGCGTCACTTTGAAAACCTTTTTCCTCCATCAGTGACTTCCACCGTGTAAATGTCGTGCCAATGTTGATCCGTGTTTTTTGCCGTTTCTTGTCACGCTTGCGTTTATTCTCGTCGTGTTTCCGCTTCTTAGATGACGGGGGTTCGGTGTCCGCCGCTTTTCGTTGTGATACAGAGTAGGCATGATCCTCCATTCGTCTGATGTTTGGCCACACAGTGCCAAACAGTTTGCAAAGTCACTCACGCCTGCCGCCTTGTTCACCTTTCTTGTTACTGAGGCGCAGTATACCTGCTTCTTCTTCTTCTTCTTTGGTTTCAGGCAGACTAAACGCTTCTCAGGCATAATACTGCCATCTACTGTTCAGTACCGTCTCAGTTCATCTCTCTCAACTTGCCGTAGTTATTTTTGAGCGTCATGGGAGATCTCGCAATCGCTAGTTTGTTGCCTCTGCGCTTGCCGTAGCGCAAAGATGTCAGCCTCCATGGCTGCGAGACCCGCTCCTATGTAATTATAAATAACGAATTCTAAGGCAACGCAAATATTATGGTTAAAAGGCTGAGCTCATAGGTGATGATAAATAACATAGTTATGTATAATATATTAAATTTCTGACTTTATATCCCTGTAATTATTACACACTGTAGCTTTAAACAGATATTTTCTATATTATCACAGATATTTTTTCCTCTCGCTTGCCTCCATCTCCGCTCTGCACGGGTCTCAGTTACGCTCTGCTTGCGGATTTGTTTTGCTCTCTCAGACTGCAGTTGGATCGTTGCCTAGCAACCTTTCCAGCCAATAGAACGACAGCCTCGGAAAAGGTGCGCTTGTTTAACCCTACGGAGTGTGCCTGTGCTACTACGCCACTTATAAAGCGTCAGCTGAAACTGCTATTTACAGTAGTTTTGTGGCTGATTGTTGTTTAGAAATAGAAAACCTGGTTTCATTTCTTAGTTTTGCCCTGGATTTTGTAGCGTTTGTGGACGCTACGTCGCTACTTGATCAAAACAATAACGTCGCTACAGGAAAGTTACTTGATAAATAAAGCAGCGACGCTACGGTCAAGCTACTTGAAAATGTAGTTAAACTAATAGCTTCGCTACATGTAGCGGCGCTACTGCCCATCACTGCTCCTGTGACAAAACTATTATAATGATGCTAGTAGGCTACAACAACATCGTGTTTTCCCACACCACTGACTTTGTTCACCATGGTAACGTAATTCCTACTGAATCAGACAAGCTATTAGGCCTATATTGTCTCTTTCCTCACTCCAGGTAAAGTGAAGAAAATGTAAACCGCTGACATCAAATGGCAAACTCACCGTATGTATCTGCACGCAACCATAACTTTCCTAATCAAGCTCGATGACTGTGTGGAGATTCAAAGGGCGCGCTGTTGCTGCACTGCACAGCTGCTATGGTCCAGTTGATGGCCGTGTACCACGTGACGTGACGCTGGACGCGGAGCCAATGAAGGAAATGAATATCCTAACGATATTAATAATTGTATAAATAATTGTGTTTGTAAATAAACTAACAGGAACTTATCTTCAGATTAACTTGCCTTCTTGGTGGCTCGTTTTCAGTGCTTTACTGCAATTGTTTGGGGTTATATGGAAAAAAAATCAATAAATAAAAAAATAACAATAAAAATCCCAAAATAATTATGGGGTGGCTAATACCAACGAAGGGATGACTTCAGCCACCCTAAAATAGGTCTAGCCACGTCCCTGCTTCAAGCCACCTCTTTAAGACTATAGTTTATAGAAGTTGATAAGAAACACGCTGTTGTAGGGTGTCATAATGCTTTGACTGTATCTTTGATTTAATTTCTCACCAGAACATTAACAAGAATTGCGACTGTATTATTATTATTTTTTTTTAGAAATGCATACCTAGCACGATAGAGTTCATCCTGTATGCTCCGAGTGCAGCTCCAACAATGAACTGGGACACATTGTAAACATGAATATTTGGGGAAACACCAGCAACTATGACAAATATCACCAAGAGGACCACCGGGAGCTGGGTGGTTTTCTTGCGGCCATACCTAAACACACAGATAACGGAATTAGGTTTTATGTTTAAGCCCACATGGTGACCCATTGCTGTTTTTAAAGGAACTTACATGTCAGCGAGTGGTCCAAAGATGATTGAACCAGCGAGCAGTCCCGTCATGGCGATAGTTTGCGTGATTTCAGGCATGTTAGACCTCTCACAGACAAGATCAAACTGGAAAACAAAACTCAAATTATCAGCAGGGCGGAAACTACAAAAGGCATTGCTAACATCACTCCTCACCTACATCAGTAACTATGGTGGACTCATACAACATGTTGCTGTACACATATCCATTCATGCATCCTGTTGTCCTATTGAGTCCATGCTCTCTGATGGCATTAATGTCCCAGTCCACAGGGGTGAACATTCGACACCTGCTGAAGCTCCCATCCTGCTCCCGGGGCACAGTGAGGTTCAGCTGCTCCTCTGCGGTAAGGTTAGGATCAACTTTAAGGATCCACTTCGTATTACAGTATCTTTCTGGGTCAGACTGGATAAAAAGAAAGCTGCAGAAAAATACTGGGAGCAAAAAATGAGGAGAAGCCAACCCAAGAAGAAGCAGCTTTTGGAAGTGACCAAAGTCTCCAATGGTGATCAGAATTTCCCCAAAATCCACCATCTCTACACAGATGAAGAAACCTCTAAGGTTGTCTTTATGAAGGGATACGACATGTGAAAAATCAAGATTTATACTGTCTGGCTCTAATCAGTCACTAAGTATCTAGAAAAACAACAACCTTCAACACAAACTGTGTGGCAATGGTTGACATGTTAAAGAAAACAATGAGACAGACAAGAGGGAGACACAATGACTTGCAAAAGCATTTATATCCCTTTTACCTTTATGTTAAAAGTCAAAACTATTATATATTTGTTTAGATTGTGTGATAAACAACTTTATAACTTTTTACTTGGGGGCAAAAATGAATTAAAATTATTTTATAAAATAAAGAGTCAAACATATTTTAATGAAATTACCATGAAATTCAACACCTTTGAACACCAAAGGAAAGCAACCCAATAACTCTGGAGAAGCTGCAGCAATCCACAGCTCAGGTACAAATATAGGTCAACAAGGTGAAAATTAGATGGCTGCCCACAAAAAAACCTTTATTACATTACAAGACTCTCATGAATACAGTTTGGAGGTGGTGCTTCTCCTTTTTTTGTAGCATTTCAGTATAAAGCATTGCTGCAATTCTTGCAGTATGAGCTTCAATAAATTGAAATGAAGCCAACCTAAGTCTGCTCCAGAGTTGGGTCTCAAGTAACTTCTTATGCAGAAAATATCAGAAATAGGGTCCAATTGTCCTTCAATCTCACTTTCAAGAACATCTTTCTGCCTGGAGATTTCCTGCTTCATATCATTCATTCAGTCTACTGATTTGACATGTGAATGACGTTGGACATTCTTTTTTTAATTTTCCAGCATTACACTTTCCAGAGCAATGAAACGAACCCTAAAAGTCATTAAATGAGGAGCTTGTTATATTGTAATTCTCCTTCATCTGACAGCACATAAAATTTTGTTAAAACCCCACAACTGCATAAAATCCTCCATGTTCTGTGTGGCTCTGTGGAAGTAAAACTCTAGCCCAGGGGTGGCAAACTGGTTCCAGAAAGAGCCGTGTGGCTGCAGGTTTTCTTTCCAACCAAGCAATGGCACACCAGACTCCATTCATCTCATCAAGTCATCATGTTCAGATTGGACTCACTTGATGAGATGAATGGAGTCTGGTGTGCCATTGCTTGGTTGGAAAGAAAACCTGCAGCCACACGGCTCTTTCTGGAACCAGTTTGCCACCCCTGCTCTAGCCTTATTCTGGCTTTAACGTTGAACTTCCACAGAGCCACGGCATCAATGTGAGGTCCCTGCTGCAGGTATATGGCTATCTTTGCTTCACTGATTAAAAAAATTGAAAGTCGAGCCTTTGGGTTGGTTCTTCTGTTCTGGAAAACACCTCCTAAAAATAGAGCGTAATTAAATGGCTAAGAATTGTCATAAAAACATGGAACAAGTTTTCAGATAGACTGCAGAAAGGACACGCTTTTTTCAGAAGTTTTTCTGTCCAGATGCAGACCGGCCGGATCTGAAGATGTCTTTGGTTTATTACTTTTGTACACCTGTGGTAAAGAACTTTCTGGTCCATATTTTATAAAACCATTGTCAGTGAGTCCAGGCTAGGGAGCAGAGGTCCGCTTTGTTCGGGGTAGCAAGGATACAGGATCAGGCCAGGAAGGTCCATCAGGTCTGGTTGGTTCTGACCCTCACTGTACGAACGAAGGAGGCTCCTTTACTTGGCTGACAGCTTTTCTCTCAGTAGGCCCAGGAAGCGCTGCACCAGGCTGGCAGACCGTACCCTCATCACGGAACCCGTGGCCAATGTAGGAGAGGGGCGCTCCTGCAGTTTCCACTAGCCGTCTCTCCGTCATCTTGGAACAGAGCAGTGCCTCCGACACCCCTGGCCACACACATCCAGTCTCGACCCACAGATTAAGGGCTCCTGTAACAGCCAGTGCAGAGAGTTAAACTTTTGGGATGATCTTAATTTAAACAGGTGACAAAAACACCCTGATAAAACTTAGGCAATCCTCTTAACTTAATGCGAGCATCCTGACCCAGGTTGCTCACATGTCTAAAATTACAGCTGGCCAGGTCCCACCATGCTAAGTCAGAAAGCCCTGAGAGGTATTTCTGAATGAAGCGTAAACTCAAAGCTGCCGTTCTTCCGGCTAAGTGGACAAGATCCTGGCCCCCCTCTTTTCTGGGTAAAAACAACACAGACTGTGGCACCCAATGAAACCTGTTCCAAAAAAAGTAGGACATCCTGGCTTGTATGTTGCCCAACAAACCAGGCGGTGGGTCAAAGGATGAAAGCTTGTGTTACCGCTAGGTTGACGCACATCATGGTGTATCAAAATGTCCTGCAGTCAAGAGCGGGAATAGCAGCTTATCTTGATGCATTTAAGCAGCTGAAGTAGCTCCTCATGAGTTTCTGAGCATCTGACGCGCTTTGCAAGCAGCAGATGCTGGAGTTGGAAAAATGTATCTTTTGCTCCTTGATGCGCCACATCAACCAAACAGAGAAGCTGATCTGAGAGCTGGCAGGGAAATGGACGCAGCTCTGCTGAGGCAGAGAACTATTATCACTCCCCTGAAACAGTTTATTAACGCCTAAATGAACTTAAAATGTCAAGACCTGCCGGCAAAATAGGTTCGCTTTTATTATTCTAGTGTGTGCAGTTTGGATTACGTACATGAAATCTGCTAACCTCTCCTTCCAGCCGCCACAAACAGGTGAACTGGGGTTTTTAGCTGATCTTGATGAATTGACTGCACAGACAATGTTTTCAGGTGGACTTTCTTGCTTAAAAACATGTTAAAACAAATTTTTAACCACTTAGAATGGCAAATAAAGCAAAGCCACTCTGCAATTAAACACAGGACCAGCAGAAGCATCAGACTTATCTGTACACATTTTACTGGACGTGCTTCAGGAGGAAAGCTGCATTTGAGGCGCATCGGACCTTAAAGAGGTCATAGAATGATAATATAGGGTATTTGGTTCTGGTCCTTTTTATTTATCCTTTATTTAACCAGGTAATACCCATTGAGATTAAAAATCTCTTTTGCAAGGGAGACCTGAAGGGGGCCTTAAGGGGGCATATGTCATATTGGCATATTTGCTGTTCTATGAGCCCTAATGCAAGCCTGGTTAAAAGCCCTAGAAGGATGCGACAGGTTTTCTTCCTTTTATGGTATGCTCATGAATATTTAGATGAGCTGTGCCCTGATTGGTTGGTTTACAACAAGCAAAGCTGGCAAGCAAAGACGCATCAGAGCAACAAGCACTCATTCACTGAAACATTGAAATTGTTGATATGGGTTCCTAGGCCTTATTGGGTTTTAATTTGGAATAATAATGTCTGTTTTTAATTGTAAAGGAATGTATAAATAAAACATATTTTGGATACTATTTCTGTTTCATCATTTTAAGCCAGGCCTACCTAGGTACTTTTAATTGGGAGACCCTAGGCCACTTGATTATTTGAGAGGTCTACCAGTTGGCTTTAGGGCCACATCTTCTGTCACAGTCCAGGTTCTTCCCTTGTGTTACATTTATTTAACAGAATTAAACATGTGATGATTTCAATCTCTTTTGAATACTTCCGAGTTTTTTTTTTTGGCCTCAATCTCGTTCAGTCATTCTGCAATAGCATGCTCCTGATTGGCTTGCTCTTCTTTTAACTTATCTAGGTGATATTGCAACTGATTGTTGTGGTATTCAACATCCCATACATTAGGTATCCTACAAATCCAAACAGGAGAAATCAGAGTATCATAAATCTCAAAATCCATGCATTTTCAAAATCCTCCACGGACAAAATAGTATAACGCGCTATCCCCCAATCCTTCCTGCAGTCTATGGTGTATCCCACAAAGCATGTCCCAGCAGGACAGAAAGGGTCCCCTTTTCCCTGTATTCCAGCTGAAGAAATTTGATCAGTTGCATTAAGAGACCAGCTGACCATATCCATTGTTTGAATTTGGGTGATATGAAGAGAGGACTCAGAAAAAAGACAAGGCACAGCAAAGCAGGGACAGAGCAGGGAGTTGCAGAGCAGCAGGAAAGTGCGACCACCTCCTTCACGAGTCAAAACACAACCCTCACTCTCCACCATATAATGGGTCGCATTGGCAAGCCTCTCCTAAATGATGGGAAACTTACAATAAGGACCGGATATTTTACCAATAAATCCATGTATGTTAGATTGAATTAGAAGCACTATAGCAAATTATTCCTAAAAATCCCCCCCAAAAGGTTGTATAATATACACAAAGATGCTTTATACTTACCTTTACTTCACAATCAAATGCTGTTAAGTGTGCAGTTCAGTGTCGTTCTTCTGGGTTGTAAGAAGATATCTAATTTCTCAACGAATTAATACCTTGTAGCACTAAAGGCAATATTTGGTCATGTATACCAATAGATGACTCTGAAAGATTTAAAGAATTAGGAGATGGGCCCTTTTCAATCAATGGTCAGGAAACATAATGTATGAGAGTGGACTCAGAACCAAGATTGGGTCCCCTGCACTAGGTAGGCAGGGATCTCAAACTTTTAAGTCGTTGAGGCCTCCTCTATCTTTAATGTGAAAAAAAAAAAAAACATTCTAAGAATCTGCTCCTTTGCCACTTCTCCAATTTGCACTATTTTACATGAGAATTAATATATGAATATGGGTAGTTAAAACAAGTATTAGTCCTGCAAAAGACAGTATCATACACTTTTAATGATCTACCTTCAAGAAAAAGTCCGGTCACATACATAATACAAACTTATGAAAGTAACATGAAATTATTAAATAATTTCCAATAAATGTTAAGTGTTTTTAATTAAGAGTAATTTAAATCGAATGTCCATTACCAGAGACATCCATGTTTGTCAAAGAGCACCACTGCCACCTACCGGTTTGTGACATCATGGTGCAGTCTCAGCTGTTGAGCAAGTCACAATGTTGTACCTGGTGTTTGTCACAATGTGCTCTTATGCAAGATGGCGACGACCAGTACCATATGCAAAGCAGAGAGTAACAGATTAATGACATGTTTTTTTCTCTGGCCAGAAGTTCAATGGCAAACCCTCCCTCCTCAAGTTGGCA